TTCTTAATGATCACCACGATGGGGGAAGCCCATGGTGATCTGGAATAGTTGATCATCTTGGCGGACAATAGACCCTTGATCAGATCTGCTAGCTTCTCCCTGAACTGGATCCGCAACTTACGACACTTAAGGGCGATGGGTCTCGCCCCCCCCCGCGACATCGATATCGCACACCACACCTCTAGCCGCCGGCGGAAGGGCATTTCCTTTCCCGATCAAGAGATGTCGGAACTTCCAAACCTTCTGGCGAAGTCGTTCGATTTCCTCTGGAGTTTGATTATCAGATCCGCATAGTTGAATGTCTTCGATCTTCACATCTTCCGTCACCACAGGTACTTCGGGCAGCACCGCCATCTGACCATCGACATCTTCGGCGTATAGATCGCTTCCTTCATGGTAATACACGCATTCATCATAATCTTGATCTGAGTCCCACGTAAGATCCAGATCAGATGTGCCTGGTTGATCTTCCACAACAGGTGATGATGAATCCATGTCCGTTTTTTACGACATAGACGTGGTGCACTTGTCGTTCAATGGATCACCAGTCGCATGTCATGTCCCAGGCTGTACACTCATAATTGATTGCAGATCCGCCCCACCGCGTTCCGACGGCGATGTTCCTTAATCTTGCGCCATCGGATGTGGTTGATCCAGGCTGACGTCCTCAATTTCACCTTGACTATCTTCTTCTTGCAGTCCTTCCATGTCCGTGGTTTTCTCCATCAGCGGAGTAGTCGCCCATGTGTCTGGTGTCACTTGATCGCGACTTTCTGGCGCCTCCTTGACCGTTACGGCATCCGATATAGAATCTTCGTCTGCGATAGACGATAGATCCGACTCTTCGCTCGCGACAGACGCTAGATCCAACGGTCGCATCTCCGACGGTGACTCGTCCGACGGCGACTTTTCCGGCGGCAGCTCGTCGGAGGGTGGGTAGTCAGGAATATCTTGATCCTGACTCGCCTCGACTTTCTGGCGCCGGATCAACGTTGCCTTCGGTCTTTGGAGTATTGCGCGCGGAGTTTCATATTCGGGCCGCTTCACCGCAGGCGTTGGCGGGTTCTCGACCTCCATTTCCTCAGATCGAGTGTCTGTCGTAGCTTCCAGCGCTAGATTCTGCCACTCCATGTAACGACGAGAGCCGATCAAGATAAAACCCGGTATCCGCGGCACATGATCCCCAGCCAGCCAGATCCCGATTCGTTGGTCTTGATGCAGGATCAACATTTTGTCTCCAATGTTGGTGATCGAGATATATTTCGTCCGCCCTGGTCCACTGGATATTGTCGGCAACCATCGATCTCCACGCGTGCCCCACAGCTTGTCGTGGATCAACGACCTCAGACGCAATGTTAGTTCCACCGACTCCCCTGCTTGGATCCGAAGGTATTGACCGACGTTGACGAACTTCGCTTTGTCACTATAGAGCTGTCGCCTTCCGCTAAGCTGGATCCGGACTTCGTCCGGCAGACTGATCGATCCATGGGCTAGATCCAGGCGGATCCCAGCTGGAACCATGAAGTCCATGCCGAGTATAGCTTGTTGGCCGGTC